AGCACCTTCCCTACCTACACATACAAATACACCTAAGAAACTGACAGATGCCCTAACCGGTTTGGCTCAGTGGATAGAGCGTCGGCCTGCGGACTCAAGGGTCCCAGGTTCGATTCCGGTCAAGGGCATGTACCTTGGTTGCGGGCACATCCCCAGTAGGGAGTGTGCAGGAGGCAGCTGATCGATGTTTCTCTCCCATCAATATTTCTAACTCTCGCCGAAGCCGGTTTGGCTCAGTGGATGGAGCGTCGGCCTGCGGACTGAAGGGTCCCAGGTTCGATTCCGGTCGGGGGCATGTACCTGGGTTGCGGGCACGTCCCCAGTGGGGGATGTGCAGGAGGCGGCTGATCGATGTTTCTCTCTCATCGATGTTTCCAGCTCTCTATCTCTCTCCCTTCCTCTCTGTAGAAAATCAATAAAATATATTTAAAAAAAAAAAATATTTCTAACTCTCTATCTCTCTCCCTTCCTCTCTGTAAAAAATCAATAAAATATATTAAAAAAAACAAAGAAAGAAACTGACAGATATTTAACTGGACTGACCAAGAAAAAAGAGAGAAGACACAAATGATCAGTCAGGAATAAAGGAAGGGACATTAACTGACACTATGGAAATTTAAAAAATTACAAAAGAATGTTATAAACAACTTAATGCCAACAATTAAAAAAATTAAATGTATAAATGCCTAGAAAGACAATAACTATCAAAACCAACTTCAAGAAGAAATAGAAAACCTAAATAGACTTACAGGAAGTACAGAAACTGAATTCAAAATGTAAAATCTTCCCACAAAGGAAAGTCCAAGTCTAGATGGTTTCACTGATGAAGTTTATAAAGGTGAAATAATACCTATCCTTCACAAACTCATTCAGTAAATAAAGGAAGAAACACTTCGAAACTCATTCTATGAGGCCATTCGTAATTTGCTATCAAAGCCAGAAAACAGCATAAGAAAAGAAGGCTACAGCAAACCAAATCCAGTAACTTATAAATAGGATCTTAGATTATGGCTGAGAGATTTTTCTCCTGAATGGAAGGGTGGTCTATGGTATAAAAAAAAAAAAAAAAAAAAAAAAAAAAAGGAAAGAAAGAAAGATGCTATATTATTACAATAAAGGACATAAATCACAAGATCATCTTACTAGAGGCAGGAAAAAACATTTCACAAAATCCAACACTCATTCATAATAAATACTCTTAGCTAACTAGTAATATGTGGAAACTTACTTAGTTGATAAAGGGTGTCTACAAAAAACCTACAGCTAATATCCCACTTAACTGTGAAGAAGTAAATGCTTTCTCCCTAAGAAAAGGAAGTCCCTTCTGCTACTACATTCAACATCTCATGTAAGTTTTTAGCTCACACAATAAAGCAAAAAGGCATTAACACAGTAAATGAAAAAATAAAAGTGTTTTAATTCACAGATGACACTATCTTAAATGTAGAAAATCTGAAGTAATGCACCATAAAACTATGAGAAAATACAAAAGTACAAGATTGCAGTATGCAAAATCAATATACAAAAACTGATTGCATACATTAGCAACAAAAACTCTAAAATTTAAATTAAGAAAACAATTCTATTCACAAAGGACTAAAAGTACTAAAATATTTAAAAATAAATTTAACAAGAGAAATTTAAGACTTGTATACTGAAAATAGTAAAATACTGATATTAAAAATGGTTAAGAGAATTACAGATCAATTATTGATATAGATGTAAAAATATCAGCAATGAAATGTAAAAATTTATCAAAAGAATTCCAGCCCTGACCAGTTTGGCTCAGTGGATAGAGCATCAGCCTGTGGACTGAAGGGTCCCGGGTTTGATTCCAGTCAAGGGCATGTACCTTGGTTGTGGGCACATCCCCAGTAGGGAGCGTGCAGGAGGCAGCTGATGGATGTTTCTCTCTCGTCGATGTTTCTAACTCTCTATCCCTCTCCCTTCCTCTCTGTAAAAAATCAATAAATTATATTAAAAAAGAAAAAGAAAAAAGAATTCCACATTAAGCTCAAGCAGGGCTTAATCTAGAGACAAACAAAATTGAATAACAGAAAATGTATAAGCATAATTCATTATGTCAACAAATTAAACCAATTGATGCTGAAAAGGTACTTGATAAAGTACTAAAGTTGCTCCTAAGAAATAGTAAAATAATTAATTTGAATTTAGTAAGACTGTTTTCCAAAATTAGATATCCAAAGTAGCAAAATACTAATGTGCACTCAATTAAATAGAAGTGGGAAGTAACTATCACTAGTATGATATGATACTGCCTTATAAGAATAGAGTGTAATAAATCATTGGAAAAGAAGAAACACAAACATCATTTCTGGCCACTATCAACTATAAATAGATAACCAAAAAGATTCTACTAAAAAACTCCCAGATTTAGTAAGATAAATATACAAAGTGCCTTGATATGATACAGATATCCAAATACCAACAGTTTTTATCTACTCTTAGCAAACAGTACCTAAAATAAGAATGAAAAATATTTTATTTAAAATAACAAAATTATAGCATACTTAGGAAAAAAATAACCAGAAAGGCCTAGGGCCTAAATGAAGTAAAGTATAAAATTTTACTTTAGAAAAATATCTCATATAAATATGTGGGAAGACACACTACCTTAATAATGTCAATGTTCCCAAAATTAACAAATAAATATAATGTGCTGGGGTCCAACCCCAGCGGGTCCAGGGGTCCCCAAAGGTGTAGACGGAGTCGGCGAAGAAGGAAGGACACGGAGACAGTGTTCAGTTGATCAGCAGCCTAGCCAGGATCTCCAGCCAAGTTCCGGTCTGGATCTCCAGAGAGGTTCTGGTTAGGATCTCCAGCCAGGTTCTGTGTCCATGTTCTCTTGCTAGGTTCTCCAGGTTCTCCAGCCAGGTTCTCCAGCCAGGTTCAGTCACCAGGTTCTAGTCAGGTTCTCTTGCCAATTTCTGTAGTCAGGTTCAGTCCAGGATCTTTTGCCATGTTCTCTCGCTAGGTTCTGTCTCTAGGTTCTGTTGCCAGTTTCTGTCCAGGATCTTTTGCCATGTTCTCTCCAGCGAAGTTCTTCTGTCTCTAGGTTCTGTGTAGGTTCTGTCTTCTAAGTTCTGTCTTGTTACATCTGTATTTATACCAGTTGATTCCAATCCTATCAATCTCTATTCCAAAGGTTAGGGCGTTTCTTATCTCCATTCCAGGGAGTAAAGATTATGTAGCTTAAGCATGATTGTTCGTAGTTAAAGTGATTGATTACCCGCCTGGCACTTAGTTAAGGGGTTTTATTCCCTCCCAACTTCAGGGGAAAATCCCTACCTGGGGAAACAACCTTTCTCAGAGACCTTGGTTAAAACACATAGTGCCAAGAAGGTGAGCAAACATATTAAGAACAGTATGCCATATATGCCAGGTCCCTTGAAACAGCAAGCATGGACCGGCTCCCGGCAATAATGTAATTAAGATGAGAATAAAAAGCTTACATGAAAAAGTAAGTGCAAAAATTAACTATGAAATATATGAAAATTTAAAGCAGTGGGGACAAAACTGCCTGCCAGATAGCTGAAGCATTTTAAAAGTAGGCTTTCCTTTTCCAGAAAGGAGAACTTTTGAAGATACTCATATCTGGCATTTGTGTTAAAGACTGACAATTATGTCTCTTCTTAAATGATGGCCAATGGTTAGTATGTTTATAAAATAGAACTTTAAAATTCAATAAACTATTTTAACTTAATAAAATGTTAATAACTAAACAATAATTGAATTCTATACTATTAGAGCTTTACCCATAGCATTTTTCTTTCATAATCCTCATAAGAGCCCCAAAGGGCTATCTCTATTTTAAGAATAAGGAGCTTGGGGAGAAAAGTAAATCAACTTGTTTAAGGCTACATATCAAGCAGTAACAAAACAGAAATTTAAATAAGGGAGAAATTCAAATGGAAAAGAATAACACTTAATAAAGAAAAAAAGTCTATATAATAAAAGTAGGGAATTTTACCCACACATATATGTTAGTCCATATCCTTCCTGAGTTTAACTATGAAATTATGTCAGTATCCAAGTGAAATAAGTTGAAATAAGGAAAAGGTGTAATGACAAATTAAGATTTAAACTGTGCTTTTCTCTTTTAAAAGTGATAATTGTACTCATTGTGATATGGTGTTAGCTAATATAAAAAAACACACACACTGATATTATCATTAAAAAAAGAACCAAGGAAATTTCACAATGCAGAAATTAAACTATCACAGATGTTTACTCTTTTAATAAATATTCAAGGGAAGAAAACAGATATAGAAGACAAAGTAATTAATAGTGACCCCTATAAGTAACCTGCCTACCCCATAACACTTCTGACAATGAAAGAAGAACTTACTAGTAATAATTATATTGGTACAAGTATAAACTTGCACTGACCCAGGCAAACAGACATTCCATCACCCTAGTTTAAAAAAAAATACTTTAGCAAAAAATTCTTTGCTATTATTAAAATAGCAAACATTTTTATGAGTACTTACTATATTAGTAAGCACTCCAAGATACAAAACTTTGTTTTATTCACTGTCCCTAAATAGGTAATTTGTACATAGTAGACACTCAATAAGTAATTGCTGAATTAATTGGTTTCCTATAGGAAAAAAAATTCCTGTGTCTATACAACATAACTGAATAGTTTAAACATCATTATTGACCTAAGTTTCTGAATAAGTAAGCATTAGTTCATGCATAGAAAGACTTAGAGGAACAACGACAAAAATTATCAACAAACCCCTCTCTATGTATTGAATATTACTGACACTCTCTATGTATTGTATATTAGTGACAAAATACTGAAATGAAGGTACAGCAACAGATGAGTAATGATGGCATACTGCATACTTCTAATTTAGAGTTTAACAATGAAAACACAATTTAAACCTACAAAGAAAGTTACTCATTTTTAAAACTTTTATCTTAGACATGATTCTCAACCAACATCAAACGACCAATCTGCTTGTATTTCTTACCTGCACAGCCGAAAGCTAAATGGTATCTAGAAGAGGGGCTAAATTTAACACAGCACACATTAGCCTTTGCCTCAATGCTTGCCACTGAATTGTCTAGGTTGGTAGACCACAGCTTCACTAAGAATAAAGGAAAATAAAAACAAACAAAAAAAATAAATAATCATTAGCAAATGCTTCTGTAACCTAGAAACAGCTGTTTTGTTTTTTTTGGGGGGGTTTTTTAGTTAATCTAAAGCATTCTGATTTACTGGGACCAAAAATTTTAAACAACGTAATAATAGAACAGTATATTGAAACCAGGAGAGCTTAGTTTCAAAGTTAGAAAACAAACAGATATTCAATGTAAAATGAGTGATAACATGATCCCATAACTAATTTCATTCTAGTGATTTATACTGAGATTTGTAATGATGGGGAGAAGAAAGAAAGCTGACTGATCAGAGCAGGTCAGATCTGAAAGCACAAGCAAAAAGGTGAGCTGTTGTCCTGTGAAGTACTACAACAACCATCATGTTATTTTTAAACAAAAATGTCTTAGTAGACACCAGAATACATATACAAAATATATTTTCAGGATCTAGGTCACAATCCTGGTTGCATAATAGAATTAAAACAAACAATAACAATAACAAAAACAAAACCTTCCCATCCATCTTTTGATTGGTCTCAGTGTACCACCCAGGACAATACCAAGATGAGGTAGGTATTAGTGTTTTTTAAAAAGCTCTCTGGGTGATTCCGATGTGCATTTGGGGTTGAAAACCAGTACTAAGAATGAAGGCATAGTAAAATTTTAGAATCTTTTTAGGAATACTAATACAGTAATTTATAAACAGAAATAAAAAAAAGTAAAAATGGTCCCAACAACTACCACTTCTATAAGTTACATGTAGGAAAAAACACACAAAGAAATTAAGGCTTCTAACTCTAAGATAATATAACTGTTAATATGATCTTATAAATCTAATGGTGAGAAAAACCAGGCCAAACAGGACAGTATGGACAACAGAAAAGAATAATAAAGATAAATATACAAGAAAAAATAGAAGAGGTCGATTAAATTGGCAGAAAGAGATGTAGAATTTTTGCCTTAAAACAGGATTAACTGTACTCAAATATTTTAGCATACACTGGAAATTTAATATAATTCAGAAGGCAAAAATGTCTAAATGCTTCAGAAAAAAAAGTTCATTCAGTAGTGTATATATAAAGGAATTGGTTACAAAAATTTTACCATGTGGCATGTACCCAGAAAATATAATAATGAAGATGTAGTATATCCATTTTTCTTTCATTCCAAAAGATATATAGATTTTTGGAGTTCAGTTATTTTTGGAACAATCAGTAATCACAAAAGATTGCTATAAATTTCAATAAATATCTGTATTTCTGTTAGTAAAAGGAATAAAGGGGGTGGGAGGGAAAGAGAGGTGATTCAAATAGTACCTTTTGCATCATCAGAACCTGAAGCCAAGAGTTTAGGATCCATCAAATTAAAGTCAACACTCCAACACCTCTTCTCATGCTCCTGGATGTAGGAGGAAGACAAAGTAGTCTCAGATAGAATATAGATCTTAAAATAAATAAAGCAAAAACAACAAAAAAACTTGATACTAATTTACTGCTATTGTGAGAGGGAGAGAGAACAGGCTATAAAAACAAAAGAGATGTAAAGTAGTTCCCAAACTTTTAATATATAATATACATTTACTAAAATGAGATACACTCTAAAAATGCGAAAGTCTAAGAAAATGCTTTTAAAAGCATGATTTAGTATTACATAGATATAAAAAAATACTAAATAGTGCCTTTAAAATTTTAATTATGAAGTATATGAAGCTTTATAATTAAGAAAGTAAAAATTTAATTCTCAAAACAAATTAGTATCCTTAATTACCTGATAGACCTTTGACCTCTGTCCTGTAAATCCATCCCACAGGATGACGGTGCCTTCATAATCACTGCTTGCTAACAGGTTCTTATGGTAACTACTCCAACTGATACAGCTGAAAAAAAGCAATATATTAAAGCTGTACTTTATGTAAAAGTAATTAACAATAGAGAGAAAGGATTTTTATTTGTCCAGAAACATTAGAACCTTTTGAAATGTTCTACATAAGTTCACCATCATTTTCCTGCTCATAACACATCTGGGAAGGAAAGATATCAAGTAATTCCCCTATTTTTCTATTGAAACTACCAAGTAATGTCCCATACCACTTTGCACTCTTATTACTAGCTGAAAGATGAATATGAACCTAAAGCTGCCACTGGCCATCTTGAATACATGAAAAAAGTATGCCTATGGGAGAAGAGAATAGAGGCCAAGGGGGCACAGAGCATGGCAGGGCAGAATAGCAGAGATCTAATCAGATTGTTTAGGTCCCTGAACCCAGTTGTGCCAATCATAAAAGCAAATAAACTAGTTTAAATTAAGTTTCAGTTTATATCTCAACAGAATCTTGTGGCTGAAAGTCCAATCAAAAGCATTTAACAATGAGAATTAAACTTGTAACATTTATGTTTTCAGCTATTCTCAACCACTCCAAAATTAAAAATGCAACATCTAAAAATGTATATTTTTGGTGAGACACAGATGTGAATCATGCATAGAGTAAAGCAAATAGTCTATTAAGGAAGAAGCCACTTTGAGAGCAATTAGCCTAAATGAGTTCCAAGCATATGAACATAATAAAATCTTTTGCTCTCTACTAGCTGCATTCATGCTAAATCTCAGAGACTGGAAGAATTAATTTATATGTTTAAATATACTTACTTGAATTTCTGTGTGAAATTACATGGAACAGTTAAGAGCTAAATTTGATTCAGATAGACCTGAGCTCAAATTCCAGATCAGCCCTGACTAGCTGTGGCTTTGGGTAATTTACTTCACTTTCACTATTGCCGTACTCCAAACTGATTCTTTCAGTCCCAAGTCCATGGCGTCCTATCTTGAAAAGCATCCTCCATTTACTCCAAGGTACCGAAAGTATTGCCATGTTTTTACGTGTTAAGAAAGGGTAAACTCTCTAATCCACATTTTCAATACAGTCACATTTAATATGAATTCTTGAGATGGGCCAAATATTGTACTGAGTGCATTATGTGTATTTATTTAAAGTGCAATCTAATAAAATAGGTATTACTCTTTGTTCTCCATGTTATAAATGAAGAACATGAAATGGTTAAGAGCACAGACTCTAGAACCAAACTGCCTGTTTGAATGCTGGTACCCACAAATCCTAACTGTGTAATCTGAAGCAAGTTCTTTTCTGTGCTTCGGCCTCCTTGTATATAAAATAGGGCAATAAAGGTAACTATCTCATTGGTCTGCTAAGACAAAGCACTTAAGACAATGTCTGCCATGTAAGAAGAATTCACTAAAATTATTTCTTACTCATGTTGGACTTAGGACAAAAACTATAATGGATTCTCAATAAGCACCACTGATAAATGAGTAGGCTCACAAATTACGAGTCTACCATTTTTATGAATGAATTAGGAAACAAAAAAATAAAGCTATAATTATATAGACTGTAATCCTTGCTATATAATTAACATTATTAAACATACACATACTATATATACCATTAATTTAAATAAAAAAGGTACAAAGATGACTGGGAAAGGTTCAAAGTTCTAAATAATTTATTATTAGATGATTTCCGTATATCATCACCTTTTAAGCCCAGTGCCCATGTGACCAGCTTAGGAAGCTTATTTTTAAAATGCAGATTCCAGGACTCCTCTAAAATTTTTGGGTTGCAAATCAGAAATTGTGCCTAGTTCCTCAATTTTGAACAGTATCCCAGGTTTGAATACTGTTAAAAATGCAGTATTTTACCATACTCATTATGAACTCTAAACCCTAGTACAGGAAACTTAAATATTATGCCCTCAATGAAAAGAAGCAGAATGTTCTTATGAAAAGAATTCTTGCCCTGACCGGTTTGGCTCAGTGGATAGAGTGTCAGCCTGTGGACTCACGGGTCCCAGGTTCGGTTCCGGTCAAGGACATGTACCTTGATTGCAAGCACATCCCCAGTGGGGAGGGTGCAGGAGGCGGCTGATCGATGTTTCTCTCTTATCAATGTTTCTAATTCTCTATCCCTCTTTCTTCCTCTCTGTAAAAATCAATAAAATATATATTTTTTAAAAAAAAAAGAATTCTTAAAACTATAAAAATTATAATATTTAGAGATGTGCATGCTAGGGGAAAAATTCCTGACTTTCAGACATATTCATAGTCTACAGTAATCCTTTATTCAACACCTAATGAAAGGCCATCTCAACAAAGACCTTTAATTGATTAAGTGAAAGAAAAATAGCTTTCATTTGACAAACTGAAAAGCAATAACTATAGAGGGAAAGCAACCAATATCTATTAAGAAAGATATTCTGATGTATCCTCTGTAGGCAATTATAGTGTTCCCCATGAATAAGTAAGGAGTTTCATAGAAAAGCAAAATAATAAACTCATTCTAATTATAGATACCAATCATTACATATACACTGCATTATGCCAAGAAAATAATGTAGATACCTGATTTTGGAATTGCAGGTCATTTCATTTTCAGGGTAATGAATATCTACCGCATCCTGAATGACTGTGCCATATTCATAGACTTTAATCTTCTTTGTAACCCCAGCAATTGCAAAATAGTCACAATCCCGGTCAAATTCAATACTGAAGGGAAAAAAAACCCCACATATATATGTGGTCAGTAAGACTATTTATCTATACTTGTGACATTTATAATGACAACTATTCAGAATTTGGTTTATTCTATTTCTGAAGTGATTCTGCCTACAATGATAAGAGATCTACTTGAAAGGCCCTCAGATTGTACCAGGCCCTATGTCCAGATTAAATCATGATCAAGACATCAAATTATAAGTGGTGGTGAAATGTGCATAGCTGCATAATTCTGTTTATAGACGGTTCTTTTGTTAGTAAAAACTTAGAATATTTTTCATTTGTTTTAATAACCATAATACAACCTACCCAACGGTAAAGGCTAACAAGTTATGCTGTAAAAGTAGTGAGGAAAGTTTAAATGGTTTGCAATATTAAAAATAAGTAAAAAGAGAATTATCAACTAATCTTTTCATAAGTTCTAGCTACTCTTCTTCCTACCATTGTGTGGGCAAGATAGAATTTCACACTATGTAATGTCAGTTTAATAAATAAATTAGAATACAAGAGGAATTACTGAAGCAGATAAAAGGATAAAACACACATAAAAGTTGAATCATTAAATTATCATTACAGGCCAGCCATCTTGGCCAGTGGTTGATCAGCAATCTGTGAACCAGGCCGTCACGGTTCGATTCCCAGTTAAAGCACATGCCTGGGTTTCGGGCTCAATCCCCAAGTGCAGGGTATGCAGGAGGCAGCCGACCAATGATTCTCTCTCATCTTTGATGTTTCTGTCTTTCTCCCCCATTCCCTTCCTCTCTGAAATCAATAAAAATATCTTTTAAAAAATAAACAAAAAACCCCACAAAACAAATAAACAAAAATCCTCCCAACAAAGTCCAGGATCAGATGGCTTCACTGGTAGATTCTACCAAACATCTAAAGAAGAATACCAATCCTTCTCAAAAATTAGAATAGAAGGGAACGCTTCCAAATTCTTCCAAACTCATTTTATGAGGCCAGCATTACTCAATACGAAAAACAGACAAGGATGCCACAAGATGATGAGATGAAACTGATGGGAGCAGATTGATGGTGGATGGTGAACCCCAACAAAAATGACTGCATAACAGATGGCCGAGAGGACATCTAAAACAATGGTTTTCCCACCAGAACTAAGGCATAATCCCAGTATCAGAGGCACTAGGCCCTGGGAAAAGAGCTGGCACTGGGCCAGCTTCTTCCCCTACCATCTGAGCTGATGAACTGACTGCCTGCCTGCAAGATAAAGCTCAGGTTCAAGGCTCTCTGGAGATCTATACCATTTATTAGTTGTGTGACACCAGACAGGGCTCTAAATTGCTTTTTTATTTGTATTCTCATCCTGCAAAATGTGGGTGGTGGCCCAACAAAGATAATGTGACAGTACTTCGTAAACTTAAATCCTTCTGCAAATACGGTACAGTACTGAGTTTTCAGTCATTGCAGGACTGGTCAAGGACACTCTTTGTCCTTCCCTTTTAAGGAACACCTCGAGGCAAACTTCCTCCTGGTTGGATAATCAGATGAGCAGCGGTGGCCAACCTTTGAGACCTCATGGATCACCAGTGGTCTGTGGACCACCGGTTGGCGATGGCTGCTCCAAAGGTTTCCTTAAACCAGTGATCGCCAACCTTTCGGACCTCACAGACCACCAGTGGTCCACGGACCACCAGTTGGCGACCGCTGAGATGGAGGACTTGAGACTTGTATTGGTCTTCACAGGCTTTGACACATACAGGGAGGCAAAAGGGTAAGTGGAAGAGCAGGCTTCCCTGATGTCAAGGAAGCCTCTCTGGGAGGAGGTAAATGGGCTCTGAATGGTTAAAAAAATGCAGTCTGGGAGTAACAGTCTTATTTAAAACCAGAGGAATATCACTTGAATTTACCAAATATATCAACAGGTGTGTGAATAGTGGGAATGAGGAAGGATTCGTCATTTTATGGATTACCTGTGATATTCTTTCACAAAACAGTTAATGGATAGTTAATAATTTAGTAAGAAGCTTTGCTGAGCTAATGATGAGATGAATAAGGAAAATAAGTACACATTAAAAATATTTCCCATAAAAACTTGTTCAGAGTCTCACTTTTCATTATAGTTTTAAATTCTTAATTTTATAAAAATTTTAAAGGAATTTCATTAAATGCTATTGACTACATCACAATTCAGCAAATGTTCCCTCCAATAAAACAGAACTATGTAGCAATGCAATATGTTTATTTGTGAACAACTTCAACTGGACTGCTATCTCAGCTACTATCCTATGGATTCTAATGCAACATAACTATATCGATGACAACTATTCAACTACCCCGACTCATTCTATACCCACAACCTCATGCCACTGAAGAAAAAATGTTACTGTGTCTGGCAAAAGACAGAGTTATTGAAGTTGAAATCCTATTCTTAACTTAGGAAGCTTTGGTATAGCTCAGACTCCATGGGAGAATCCATTATATATTATCTCTAAATACTTTTCCTCCACCTACAAACATACATGGCTAATAAATCAATAGCATTCTAAAGTTGTACCAGTAAGTTAATGTACCCTTTTCAAACTATAGTTTTAAAAAAAAAAGTTTAAACACTGACTTATCAAAACAACTGTCCAAAGACACTGCTGGGAGAAAACTGACATATAAATAAAAATGCTACCTGTCAAAAGAATTGATTTGATGATGTAAGTCTATCATTTCTTCTGTCGCTACCCTATTACACAAGACAGCTATCTTTTCCTACAAAGACTGATTATCTACATTTGCTCATTCTTTACTAAAAAAATAACTTTTTGGTTTGACTCCACTGCTATTATTTCTTACATTCTAGTTATGTTTTGTTCTTAATATAATGGGATATAAAGGACCTGTACTACTGTACAGAATATCCTTTTTATATTCTGGACTATCGAGGTTCTTTATAGTTTAAATCAATAAGATTTTAATAGGATTATTGACCAAAATATATAAAGAATACTATTATTTCTAGTAAATTTTGATTAAAAGAGAAAGACAAACATCTGCCTTTTTAAAATATGCAAGTACTTCCACATAACTGAAACTAGATATTTAAGTACAGTTCTTTTAAACACTGAGTCATTTGTTCCCAATCTTAGACAGATTTAAGCATATCTGTTCCCAAACATAAACATAATTAGGATGTAAAATAGATTATGAAATAATTCAAGTGAACAATGAAGTTTTTAGAGAGCTTTTCAGAGCTTATCCAAAATAGACAATCTCTTATTTCACAATATAATATTTCAACTGCTTTAATTATGAAATGTAAACAAAAATAAACAATGATCGGTTTGACTAAAACAAAAACAAAGTAAAAGGTAAACAAATTAACTGAAACAAACCTGCTTGTGCAATTAAATTCAAGAGAATTGTAAGAAATCTTGCTTGTTATATAAAATTCATTTCTGCTATCCACTATCATCAGTAATTCTTAAAACAAGTGGTTTATGAAAGTTTATTGCAATGACAAATTCAATTTCATAAAATGTTTTAAATTTTAAAATACACATTTTCCTTGAAAAATAGTATTAATGGAGACTTACTTTAAACATGGAAATTGTAATTTTCTTTCACACTTCAAATGTGTCAACTGTTTTTTAAAAAGTGATGTATTTAAAACAGTTATAAAATGTAATTCAGCCCTAACCGGCTTGGCTCAGTGGATAGAGTGTCGGCCTGGGGACTGAAGGGTCCCAGGTTCGATTCCGGTCAAGGGCATGTACCTTGGTTGCGGGCACATCTCCAGTGGGGGGTGTGCAGGAGGCAGCTGGTCGATGTTTCTCTCTCATCGATGTTTCTAACTCTCTATCCCTCTCCCTTCCTCTCTGTGAAAATCAAAAAAATATATTTTTAAAAAAATGTAATTCAGATGTAGGAAACTGGTTATATTCTTTGTCAAAAGGGCTATCAGTCAAGTGATTAAGCAACAAGGCCACAGATCACACAGGATAGCTGATTAATGCACACTTCCAGTACAGTGTGGCACAAAGCAATGCAAAGACGTCAATATAACAAGAAGGTAATTTTGTTCCCACAGCTTGTCATATTTTTTGCAATTATAAAACAGGTATGGACAAACAAGGCAGATTCATAACCCTGAATACTAGAATCCAATTTATCAAAAATTACATAAAGTGAACACAGTTGTTAAAGGTCTAATTCATTACCATGATAATATGCCTCAAGAGACTGTGGTAACTATAACTTCGAGGAAAAAAAGAAAGGTCGAGAAATTGGCCATTTTAGTGAAAAGAAGGGGGCAGATCTTTAAAGAATATAAACACAGGCAAAGGGGCAAAGGAAATTAATGTTATCCAACTTTCTCCCAAATCAATCTTTATCCTAAAACTAGTTCAAATCTTAGTTCTGTCATTTATTAGCATTGCACTGACCTTAGACAAGTTAGAAAATTTCTCTTCACCTCAATTCCTAACCTGTAGAGTGGAATTAACAGCAATGCCTTACTCCACTGGGTTTATAAAAAATTAAATGAGTCAATGAAGCACTTACAAAGTCATGTAAAATATTTACAATGGTGTCTAAAAAAAGTAATCAAATACCACATCACCAGTGTAGTGACTGATCTAGCAGCAAAGAATGCCATAATATGTAACCATATTCTTCTTATGAATTTACTAATATCTGATGACATTCTATTTACAAAATTTGAGAAAACATAAAGCAAAAATATTAAATCTCTAAACTATAAGTGCAACGTATAGTAATTTTAAACATAACAATCTAGGTATGTAAAAATCAAACCAGAATCAAGAACCTAGAGCCACTGCTATTATGTAGTCAAAGTTTAAACTATGCTTTAAAACCATTCCTCTCTGGTGGCTACTCAATACCTAATTTAAGGAAAAGTGCAAAAGTGACATTACTGCTATGTGTAAGATGAGCTCTCTATGACCTTCACTGTAAGCACTAATTTCCATACCTGTCTACTATTTAATTAGCTGAGATACTGTCAAAATGAACAAATGCTGCCACCTTGTGGATTTATGAGTGTGGTATTAACTCAAAATTACCCATAAGGGAAGAAAAATGTAAAAGCAAAGTTTCTGGTTCAGCTTTTTCTCTCAGTGAGATTCTCACTGCAATAAGTGACCAAGGGTAGATATATTTCTTACAATTTTACAGTAAGAATAATTTCTTCTACAACATAATGAAATATACCAAATTCAATGTCATCTCTAACATGTCTTACCACACTTCCCCCAAAAAAATTTTAGAAAAAATCCTCACCTGAAGATATGTGTTTATTAATTTTTAAAGAGAGAGAGAGAGAGAGAAACAACAATGTGAGATAAATATCAATTGGTTGCCTCCTGTATGCGTCCTGAGTGGGGATCAAACCTGCAACCTAGGTATGTGCCCTGACCGGAAATTGAACCCGCGACCTTTTGGTGTACAGGACAATGCTCCAACCAACTGAGCCACCCAGCCAGGCCCAAAAGAAATTCATTAAAGGTCCTATTTTGAGAGGAATTAAAACCCTTTAAAACACACTTATTACCAATAATGCATTTGAATGTGAGAAAGTAGGAAAAGCAAAAAAATCATTTGTTCTATGAAAGTTTCCAAGTCCCTTCAATTACTACTTAGCTACTATTTTCCTTTGTTGCTACTAACTAGTCTTCATCTGTCCTGCATAATAAAGCTTGAATATTGGAAATTTTTCTTTCAGAAATGTTATTAAAAATATTGCCTAATTATACTTATATGGGATACTTAGTCAAAATCAGAGAGACAGAAAGTAGAATGGTGGTTGTCAGGACTGGTGAATGGGGAAAACGAGGAGTTATTTTTTCAATGGGCCCCAACTTTCAGTTTTACATGTCAAGTATTAAGGAGATGGATGGTGGTGACAGTAGCACAGTATTAGTTAGGAATGTATTTAATATCACTGAATAGTAACTTGTTAAGATGGCAAATTTTGTGGTATGTGTATTTACCATAATAAAAATATTTTGGAGAAAAGAGATATCACATCAAAATCTGTGGCATGCAGCCAATGCAGTGCTAATAGGAAAATTTGTAACACAAATTGCTGGAGACCAATTCCAGCAAGACAGCAGGACTGCATCTGGGAATGGCTGAAGGCATTTTCCCAAACCTGAATAGGATACATTAAATTGATTCTTGGCAGACAGACAGTTAAAGGGCATCTTAATCTACATGTTATTGCCTCCTACTAGCCAAATACCTGAACAGCCTTAGGCTAATTCCCCCATTCTGACAATGGACTCTGTACTGAAACCCTGACCCTTTGAAGTGTATATCTCTGCCTTGCCTCAGGACATATTGTGTTAATAAAAAGCATGGGGTCCTGGGATGAGGAGACCTGAGAATTTAGATCTTGGATGTTAGCCCCTTTAGCTAAGCACCTCGGACCCCCAAATGCCTTTCAAAATTATACTTCATCTCTGGACTCTTATTTAAAATCTACGCACAGCCTTCTCCAAATTCCTGAACCCTTCTTGATGCTAGGACAAGAACCCCGGCACAAATTATCTACAATAAAGAAACAAAAAGATAAGGGCAAATTAAACCTAAAGAAAGCAAAAAAGGCAATAAAGAGTAGAAATCGATGAAACAGAGAGCAGAAAAATAGAGAGTATCAATAAACCAAGAGCTGGCTCCTGAAGAAGATAAATAAAATTAATAAACTTCTAAACCAGACTACTAAGTGAGGGGCGGGGTGGATGAGACAAATTTCCAATACCAGGACTGAGAAAGTGAGCATCATTACAGAATTTAAAGATATTAAAAGGATAATAAAGGAATATTATAAACACTTGTTCACAAACAAATTCAACAACCTAAGTGAAATGGACAAATTCCTTAAAAGACAAACTAAAAATATGCTCAATTAAGAAGAAATGGATATTTGGTTAGCCTTACATATATTAAAAATTAAATATGTACTTAAAAGTTTTCCCCCAGAGAAAACTCAAGGCCAAGATTGCTTCACTGGAGAATTCTCAAATATAAGGAAGAAATAATACCAATTCTTTACAAACATGTCCAGAAAACTGAAGAAGAGGAAGCACTTATGAGGACAGCATTCCTTCTCACCAAACCAGTCAAGGACATTATAAGAACACAACTGCAACCCTATGCAGTGAATACTATTAATCATCCCTTTCTTGAGATGAAGAAACGAATGGCTAAAGAGACTGAAAACTGGCCTAAGACCAAAGAACTAAACATTGGCAGGCAACTGACTTCAGAACATAAGAGTCTTAACCATACACTATAACCGCTTCTCAAATTCAATTAAATTCTAGATACTCTTGCAAAAGGAAATAGTGGAGTGCTGCCCAGTACTTACCTAGAGACTATGCTGGAACCATTATAGAGATCACTAGCATATGACAGAGTAGCCAAAGGTCGTACTGAATTATATCGAGTAAACTTGGACAAACATTCCTGAAATTCATCCAACTGGCTTGCTGTTCGACTGTCATCTATATAAATAAAATAAAATAAAATAACTGCAACATCCAAGAGCAATAGTCACAAATTAAGAATAATATTTTAAATACAACAATTCTTCCCATTCTTGAGATGAAGAGACTGAGGGCTAAAGAGATTGAAAACTTAGCCGATCTTTCAATTTTAGTAACCCTTTAAAGATTTAAAACTTAGCCAATTCATTAACAATCTACATTAAAAGGGTCCAATTTGTAGTGTTTCTATTCTAAAAACAGCAAAAGGAACTAGCATGAAATATCATAATGTTATTGAGATAAGGCTCCTGCTACACAAAAATTATTCTCAGGAAATTTAACAAATTATAAGTAAAACATAGGTTATTGTAAAAAAAAAAATCAACTGTACTACAAAGTGGTTTGAAGGTACAGTTAATTGGTTCTCAAAAAAAAATCAATTATCATAAAGCGGTTTAGATGTAACAGTTAATTCGTTTTTTTCATATATAATCCTATTATTGTGAATGATGTAATAAATACTGGGAAGGCAGTTACTTTGTTCATTTAAAATTTATTTTAATGCTAATCTATTCTTTCTCATTTTACATCAACCCCTAAGTACAAAAAATTCACAAGTATTTAAGAATGTGTATTCTGCCCAGCAGACATGGCTCAGTGGTTGATCACTGATTTATGAACCAGGAGGTCACAGTTCAATTTTGGGTCAGGGCACATGCCTGGGGTGCAGGCTTGATCACCAGTGTGGGTTGTGCAGGAGGCAGCCAATCAATGATTCTCTCTTATCTTTGATGTTTCTATCCCTCTCTCCCTCTTCCTTCCTCTCCGAAATTAATAAAAATATTTTTAAAAAAATAGAATGTGTGTTCTGTTGAAGACCATAATCCTTTTCTAGGGTTGCATCATGCCATCATTAATTACATTAACACGTACTTTCAACAGAAGTAATAAAGAAAATACTAAAAATAGTCATTTCTGTATATTAAAGTATAGGAATTAAATTTTACTTATGTGGTTATAAAAAGGTAGAATTTTATTTCCTTGATTGGCTTATGAACATCCATACATATCTGCTAGCATATCACCTCTCCTGTCTTAATTACAGGTTATTTTATAAAAGTGTATCTATTCAGTGTCTCTTTTACCTCTTCTAATGCTTTATAATTTACCTCCTCTTTCAATTACAATTGAGAACCAAGGCATTAATTTCTTAATCTTGATCTTTCATTTTCATAGGTGAAAAAAAAAAAGTGGGGAAAGGGGATGTAGGACGGATTCCTTTGAAAATATACAAAAGAACAACCAAACTTTTAAGTACCCTATAAGGAACTTCATATTCAGCAATATGATTAGTGTAGTCAATGTGCACATCTGAGAAGATAAGCTTGAGATTCCTAAAAACTAAGGACAATATGTATTAGGTATAATATACCGTGTTCACAAAAATAAAAATCTAACCTTCCTCTTGGTCTTCACTTATCATTCTACTTAAATCCCCAAAATAAATTAAATTGGTTTGTGATTACCTTTACCATCCTACAGCATGCCTATGCTGCTAATTAGTTAAAAATTATTAATAGCAATAGCCTAGCCCCGTGGTTGGCAAACTGCGGCTAGCGAGCCACATGTGGCTCTTTGGCCCCTTGAGTGTGGCTCTTCCACAAAATACCACGTGCGGGTGCGCACGTAAAGTGCGACTGAAACTTCGTGGCCCAGGCCTAGAAGTTGGTATTTTGTGGAAGAGCTGGTATTTTGTGGAAGAGCCACACTCAAGGGGCCAAAGAGCCACCTGTGGCTCACTAGCTGTGGTTTGCCAAGCCGCGGTTTGCCGACCACTGGCCTAGGCCAATCTTTCTGATCTTTTTTTTAATGTCTGCCACTTGCCATCTGAAAGGGCTAACATGAACCTTCCTTCTGTCAATCAGAATGTAAGTCTCAAAACACTTTCAAATTAACAGCTACCTGTTGCAATTTATAGACTACTAGAGGCCCGCTGCACGAAATTCGTGCACTCAGGTAGGTCCCTCAGCCCGGCCTGCACCCTCTCACAATCTGGGAGCCCTAAGGAGATGTCCAACTGACAGCTTAGGGCAATGCCATGGTGATAATGACAGCTGGGCCTAAGCCATCAGTCGGACATCCTTAGCAGTGCCGCAGAGGTGGGAGAGGTTCCTGCCACTGTTGTGCGCTTGCCAGCCGTGAGCCCGGCTCATTTTTTTTTTTCCCCCCCCCCCGGCTCATTTTATTTCCTGTGGGAGCACACTGACCACCAGGGGGCAGTTCCTGTGTTGAGCGTCTGCCCTCTGGTGGTCAGGTGTGCATCATAGTAACCAGTCGTTTTGCCATTCAGTTGATTTACATATTAGCCTTTTATTATATAGGATTATATAGGATTACAGAGGCTCAATAAAGGACTCGATTTTGAGGCAAGAAAATAAAAGTTTTCCATCTGCATATTAATTGATTGTTAATTTCAAACACACTTATCAACAGAGCTTGGCTTCCTCCTACTTTTCATAGGAAAAGTCCTATATAAATCTAGTATTTTTTTCCTCTACCATCAATCCTGAGGCATATTTGTCCAAAGGAACATATGCTTGAAGTAATGTGCAAATTATAATACAAACATGCCCATTCAAGAGAAAACCAAGGCCAAATTTTTAACAACTAATAAAATAGCAGACATTTGTATCCTTAGTGGCTCTCAACTTGAGCAGGTGTACTACAAATGACATGAATTAACTGAGCATCCAACTTATCACCAATCATTGTAAATTATATACCTCACTTAAAAACTGAAAAACAAAACAAAAACCTGTAGGACTGGTATTAATGGCCCAACTTAATTGGTGAGCAAAGATGCCAAGAAAAGCTAAAGATCAGAGAGCTAACAATAAGCAATAAAATATCTTATACTATCACATCCATGTCTTTGCATAAGTTATTTCCTCTACTTTGAACATGATTTTGCTTACCTTTTTTAGTTAATTAATACTAGTCTGGACTAAATACAACTCTTCAGAAATCCCTACAGCAATTATTCCCTCTTACATTTTCCCAATACCAAAGCTGGGAGAGATATTCTTCTCTCTTCTCATAATACCCTTTGCATATTTATATAACATACATTATCCCATACAATTTACCTGTTGCATTCTCCCACTACATTTAAACTACTCCTTGACAGTAAAACCCAGTTCTTACAGCTTTTCATTCTTAGCACAGGAGACAGTGCTTAGAATTTAATAAATGTTGAATAATAAAGGCAACTGAATGGAACTTATTTTTGCTATCTACATATACATGGCTGTGTTTTTTTAACTTTATATAGTTCACTATATAAAGATTAAAAATTCCAAACACAGAAAGAGAACAAAACTAGCTATGGGAAAGCAACGGTCTCCAAGATCTCTAAGAACCTTTACAACGCTCTGATAGCCTATGTCAAAAATACACACTTTTGCTTTATAAATAGGACTTTCCTTAAATCCAGTACAGGAAGGTAAAGATGGATCTGAAATTTAAATTTGAGATATTTTATTGGGATGATTACGTATTTAATTTGGAATGTCTGGTCACTGGGGTGTATAAAAATAAAAAATATAATTAAAAGTTTAAAAATTAATGAAGTCCTGAATGTGTACCTGAGATACGAGACATCCTTGTAGAAAAGTAACATTGCTCTAAGTCTTCAAAATGAGCAGTGAGTCGTTTTCGTCTTGAAGCTAAAGTGCTGTTATACCAAGGCTGTTTCTTTGTCTAAGGTGTTAACAAGAAAAGACACTTATAACTCAGAAAAAAACACATTTTCTGCACAGAATAACTAACTTAAAAAGTTCATCACATTAAAATAATTACAAATGGTAAAAACCCATAGTTCTTACACATTTTCTAATTTTTTACTTAAAGTGAAAATACAGGTTCTTAAGGCCAATTTTATAAAAAATACTAGAGGCCCGATGCACAAAATTCATGCAAGAGTGGGTCTTCCTTCTCCTGGCTGCCAGCATCGGCTTCCCTCTGGCATCTGGGACCCAAGCTTCCCTTGCAGCCCCAGCTTCGTCCGGAAGGTCATCAAGAAGGACAGACGGTCTAATTAGCATATTACGGTTTTATTATTATAGAAGACATATTCTTTCAGTTCTCCAAATTAAATAAAGATAAAATCCATTATAACTGCCATTCTAAAATTTAGAATTTTATGAATTTTAGTATGTAGAAATTGTTAGAAGACAATCATCAAAAGAAAACTACTTTTCTATCATCCCTATGTTGTAGCCTTTAACCCTTTGAATAACAGGAACAGTGCTTGACTGTACAGAATATGTATTTAAGTTAAAATTGAATATGAGTAAGGGGCAGTAATATGCATGCACTAAATAGTTTGACATATATTTTAGAAAATCAGAATAACTAAAACACATATATATAGACAAAGACAACAAACCTGAAATATATTGGCATATAATTCCTATAAAAAATACAGCTGACCCTTGAACAACACAGGCTTGAACTGCACAGATTCACTTAAATGCAAATTTCCCCGCCAATAAATATTATAAATGTATTTTCTCTTTCTTATGATTTTTGTAGAATATTTTCTTTTTTCTTTCTTACTTTATTGTAAGAATATAGTATATAATATCTTATATAATAAAAGCCTATATGTTAAGTGTCCCGTCGTCCGTTCAATCAATTAAAATGTAATATGCTAATGATATGCTAAGGCTGCTCAACCGCTCGCTATGACATGCACTGACCACCAGGGGGCAGATGCTCCGACTGGTAGGTTAGCTTGCGGCTGGGGTCTGGCCAATCAGGACTGAGTGAGATGAGCCGGACACGCCCTGGAGCCCTCCCACAATCCCTCCCTGGCTGACCAACCTCCCGCATCCTTCCCTGGCCCTGACTGTGCACCACTGGAGTCCCTCGACCTGGACTGTGCCCTCTCACAATCCAGGAACTCTTGGGGATTGTCGGAGAGCCAGTTTCGGCCCAATCCCACAGGCCAGCCCAAAGGACCCCACTGGTGCATGAATTTGTGCACCAGGCCTCTAGTATATAATAACATAAAATGTGTGGTCCTCCACATTGTTCAAGGGTCAACTGTATATAATATTACCTAAACCATGTTAACTGAAAGAATAAGACAATTCTTCCACAGTGGTTATTATCAATTATGCTTGAGGCAAAGAAACAAATACAGACATAAGATACATGAGACCTTGAGAGATGACACAAGTTCACCGATAACTATGCCACAACTGCAAATGTATTAAGAAATATTAAGGCATTATTATGAATAAAACACTAACATGAACCCTTGCTCAAATTAGATGGTAGGTAACAATCATATTTTAAAGCAGTGCTTGAATCAGTCGTTCATTTTATATACATTTGATATATTTCTATGGTTTTTGTTTTTCCTTTTAAGGGCATCTTTGTATGTCTCTTGATGCATAGGTGCGAGAGTTTCTCTAAATTTTATACCTAGGAGAGGAAGTGAGGGTCATTTGGCATACACATCAATATTTGATCTATGTATCTGCTTTTATGCTAATATCACACTCTTCTGATTACTTGTAGCTTTGTAATATCAAAGTTTCAAATCAGGAAGTGTGGCAACTCCAGCTTTGTTGTTCTTTGGCTATTTTATTTTATTTTTTTTTAATATATTTTATTGATTTTTTACAGAGAGGAAGGGAGAGAGATAGTTAGAAACATCGATGAGAGAGAAACATCGATCAGCTGCCTCCTGCACATCTCCTACTGGGGATGTGCCCGCAACCCAGGTACATGCCCTTGACTGGAATCGAACCTGGGACCTTTCAGTCAGCAGGCCGACGCTCTATCCACTGAGCCAAACCGGTTTCGGCATGGCTATTTTATTTTACCCTATTTGGAACTTTCATCAAAAATATGAGCACGGTGTGCATGGCTCAGTGGCTGAGCATCAACCTATGAACCAGGAAGTCAGTTTGATTCCCAGTCAGGCACATTCCCAGGGTTTGGCCTCGATTCCCAGTGTGGGGCGTGTAGGGTGAGCTGATCAGTCATCTTCCATTTCACCACTAATCTGCACTGACCAACCTTCACCACAGGCTAAACTCTTAATTACCTTTCAGTTGGCATTTAAATTTCTTTTGTGCTCATTTGGCTATAGCAGTCTCAGAATACATTTAATAACTTATTGGATGAATGCCATCATAATTATTATTCCTCTGAATCATTCATTCTATCAATTAATTAAAGTCAGTTGGTCACTCTGCACACCCTTAAAAATATTCTTGAGATTTTTTTTTATCCAATTGCACTAATACTTATGATAACTGGTATATTCAAGTCTATTTTTATAGAAGAGTAATATGCAAATCGACTGAATGGTGGAAGGAGCAGAATGACTGCTCGACCAGTTGCTATGAGGCGCACTAACCACCTCTTGGTCCCTCCCCGCCCACCAGCAGGCTCCGATCTCTGGATGTGAATGGGGAACCAGGGGTGGGTGGCGTGGGATGCGGGTGGTGCCAGGCCAAGGCCCCCACCCCGCCGGTCACCCCACACACAGAGAGCGACGCGCGAAGGGTGGGGCTGGCGAGCGGGTGGGAATGGCCTACCTCTCGGTCCCTCCACCCGGCTGGCAGGTTCCGATTGCCCAATGGTGAATGGGGAACTGGGGGTGAGTGGCGGCGGGGGATGGGGCTGGCTGCTGGGGAAGATGGCCCTGATCCCAGGCCAGGCGTAGGGACTGTACCCACACATGAATTTCATGCGTTGGGTCTCTAGTAGTTCTATAATATTTTTAAATCTATTTATTTTCTTTTATTTAATATTATACATTTAAGGTTGGAATTTTATTAGCTTCAGCATTAAATTATTTTAATCTGCTCAATAGTGTAATAGCCAACTTCAATTATGTATTAGAACATTTTACTTTAAAAAAAAAAAGAAGCCCTGACCGGTTTGGCTCAGTGGATGGAGCGTCAGCCTGCGGACTGAAGGGTCCCAGGTTCGATTCCGATCAAGGGCATGTACCTTGGTTACAGGCACATACCCAGTGGGGAATGTGCAGGAGGCAGCTGATCAATGTTTCTCTCTCATCAATGTTTCTAACTTTCTATCCCTCTCCCTTCATCTCTAAAAAATCAATAAAAATATATTTTAAAAAATAAAAAACATTTTACTGAAGCCCGGCTGATGTGGCTCAGTGGTTGAGCATCAACCCATGAACCAGGAGGTCATAGTTCCATTCCTGGTCAAGGCACATGACTGCATTGTAGGCTCGATCCAGTATGGAGCATGCAAGAGGCAGCCGAACAATGATTCTCTCTCATCATTGATGGTTCTCTCTCCCCTTCTCCCATCCTCTCTCTGAAATCAATAAAAACATATTTTAAAACCCTCACAAAACATTTTACTGTATTTGAGCTCTTTTTGTATTTCTCTCTGTTTTTACCATCTGAAGCCTTTCCCAGCTTCCTGAGTTGAAAGCCTAGTTCATTTACTTTCATTCATTAAAAAAAAAGAAGAAAACAAAAAGAATCCATTTAAGGATGTAAATTTTTGAGGACAATTCTGATCACATTTCATAAATTTTGATATTCAGTATTTTCACTAGCACTATTTTTCTAACTGTTTGTAGCAGCATCTAAAACTACTCTACTCTTTGACACAAAGGCATTTAGGAAAGTATTTCGTTTACTCACTTCCAAGTTGTCTGTCACTGTCTAAATAGTATTTATTTAGGGTTTGAATACAGAAAATGCAGTCAATCCATTTTTCTAAATGCTACAGAAATATTATCAATTTACTAGAGGCCCAGTGCATGAAATTTGTGCACTCGGGGGTGGGGGGGTCCTCCTCAACCCAACCTGCGCCCTCTCGCAGTCCATGAGTCCTCAGGGGAGTGGGCCTAAGCCAGCAGTCGGACATCCTTAGTGCTGCCGTGGAGGCGGGAGGGGCTCCCACCACCGCTACTGCGCTCATCAGCCGTGAGCTAGGCTTCTGGCTGAGCGTTGCTCCCCCTGTAGTAACGCACTGACCACCAAGGGGCAGCTCTTGCATTGAGCGTCTGCCCCCTGGTGGTCAGTGAGTATCATAGTGACTGGTCGTTCCACCGTTCAGTCAGTTTGCATATTAGCCTTTTATTATATAGGACTAGAGGCCCATTCCCCTGGCTTTCATTCCCCTGGCTTTCCTTCCCCTGGCTGCCGGCCCTGGTTTCCTCCGGCACCTGGGACCCAGGTCTTTGCTCCAGCCGCAGCGGAGAAGCCAGACCTCGAGGCTTCTCCGCTCCAACCGGAGCAGAGAAGCCAAGCCTCTTCAGTCTTCAGTCATCTTGTCTTCAGTCTTCGCTCTGCGCCTGCATATGCAAATTAACCGCCATCTTTGTTGGGTTAATTTGCTTGCTCATCCTGATTGGCTGGTGGGCGTAGCAGAGTGACACCAATTTGCATGTTTCTCTTTTAGTGTAGATAATCCTTTCATGCAAAGTAAAAAGTGAGACAAGTGCCCATTTAACTGATCTAACTCAATGAAAAATCAAGTCTTTATAATGCATAAGAAGTCATGCACCAAGTGAAACTTTGTTATATTTTTAACTCATTTCTACTTTTCTCCCCCTTGTTCACTTCTGGACGATGTCAGGCATTCTCCTACCTCAGGGCTTATTTACTCATTATCTCTCTGCCTCGAACTTCTCAGAGTTAAGCATGTAGCTTGCTCCCTCACCTCCTCTTTGTTCAAGGATAACTTATTAGTATCTCTCCAACTAGATTGGAAACTTGGTTACTCAAGATTTTTATGTTTCGTTTTTGTTCAACAATGCATCCCCAGAACCCAAAATAGTGCCTGATAAATAGCAGGTACTCAAAAAAATAAAAATAAAAAATCTGTTGGTTGGATAAATGCATATTTGAAAGCATAGTCTCTGAAGCCATAATGCTTGAGTTAAAAATCTCAGTTTCCTCCTATTAGTTATATAACCTTGGGCAATCTCATTAACTTCTTTGTGCCCCAGTTTCCTCCTCAATAAAATAGGAAATAATAGGAATAGTACTTATAGGAAGTTCTAAGGATTAGTTAATACATGTAAAGTACTTTGAGCAGTGTCCATGAATAGCAAGTACAAAAATAAACATTACCTAGCTACTATTATTACTACTTTAATTACTTCTTGAGCTAAATTTTTAATCAATTTTTTAAAGTTTCTTACAGTTTTGCTTTACATAAATTCCAATGGTTACATCCAAATCTGGTGTTTTCATGGTTGTTCAAGAATAAATACAAACCAATGTATAAACTTACTAGAAAAAAAGAATAGGCCAAATACATGCATACATATGAAGATAATACAAGAAGTGCAGAGTAGTTACACAAAGGTAGTTATCTAAGTAATGGAAAAAGATGATCCAAAAGATTTTCTTTTCACTATGATAAAAATAACTACATTATTACATAAAGTGAATATACAAATGAACATGAATTTAAAAATACCTCATTTTTTCCTCTTACTAAAAGGATAATATTAAGACAATTTCTAAAATCTGAATAAGATATAGAAGTTAGATAATAACTCTATATCAATGCCAACTTCCTGAATTTTAAAATTATATTATAATCATGAGACAATATACTTGATTTGAGGAAATACACACTGAAGTATTTAGAGGCAAAGGAACATTATGTCTGTACCTTGTTCAAACAATCCACACAAAAATTATATGTGTATGTAGTAAGACAGAATGAGAATAAAACAAATGTAATCAAATATTAACATTTGGATAACCTGGATAAAGAATATAAAGGAATGCTTTTTTATCTCTCTTGTAACTTTTCTCTAAGTCTAAAATTATTTCAATACAGAAACTTTTTTAAAAAAAGATCTGGCCTCAAAATTAGATTTGACAAATATCAGCATTCCTAAGTCACAGATGAAGAGACTAAAGTGTCTAAATGATCATAACAATTCTATCAATTGAGTGAATATGCTAATTGACCCTCATACCGTCACAAAGATGGAGGCGTCCACAGCCAATAAGGAGGGAATATGCTAATTTACTGCCATGACCTCAAAGATGGCGGTGCCTACAGCCACAAGATGGTGGCACCAGGTCCCCTCAGCCCGACCAGGGCAGCAGGCATGTGGCAAGGCCAAGCCGCCCCCAGGAGGGCCCACACTCCGCCTGCCTGCCTCCAGAGTCCCCCAGTTCCCTCAGCCCCCCAGCCGCCCAGGGCCGGCCCGAGGCACAGGCAAGCTTCAAATGTTGGCTGCCCAGCCGCCCAGGACCGCGCGAGGCTCAGGTAACCAGGGCTGGCCAAGGCTCCTGCTGCCAGCAGTGGCAGCAGCAGAGATGTGATGCGGCGTCACCTTCCCCTGATCACCGGGTCGTCTCCTGACCCTGAGGGCTCCCAGACTGTGAGAGGGGGCAAGCAGGGCTGAGGGGAACCCCCCTCCAGTGCATGAATTTTCATGCACCGGGCCTCTAGTTAACTAGAAAAGAGGTGAAGCTAGAGTGTATTTTACTTAAACCTGTAGTTTACTTTCCACAGAAAAGTATAAGGTTTCAACTTAATGATGAGCAATTCATCAACAGATTACTTTCTTATCTCTGAGAGAAACAATATCCTAATTATTCATAATTTCCTCTTACAGTATTTAATTCTTCTCAAGGTCTGATGTTACCATTACCAGCATGTTAAAAAAATATAATTTTAACTCATCACTGATGAGCAAATAAATAGCTGATTATGCATCAGACCTATTCAAGTCTCAATCAATGTCACAGCATTCAAAACAGAAATCTTTATGACAGGACATTACAGTAAACCAATCTGATTTTACAATTCAAATTATTATTTGAAACATATTTGTAAGTGTATAATTTACCTGAGAACTGCCACTGAAACCTGGAGGTTGGCTGTATTCTGTGGAATCAATAATACTACTGCAAAAAAAAGAGAAAAAATGTGATTTCAGTGTTTATATTATTTTATCAAGAAAAAAAGCAAAACTAAAATATGTGAATCCAACATTTATAATTTCTAAGCAAATAAAATATTTATTGCTAATAATTTAATTAGACTAAGCAAACAAAAAATTGAGCAAATATTTAAACAAGTTATCCCTTTACCCCACCACCTTAAACATGCACACCATGAAGGAATATCAATAAAAAATAATCAGAGGACAGGTGCATACACAGATGTAATTGCTTCAATTTGGTTTTCAGATGTTAATAAGTTGTTTGAAGCCCCATGTACAGAAGAGTATTGGGAAAAGAGCACAAGCATGCGCTCAAAAGCGATGGTAAACAGATACTGCTATGCACTAAAGAGGTATGTGTCCTTTGACAGGTACTTTAAAACCATTCAGTTTTGCCTAATGGCGTGGCTCATGGTAGAGCATCCACCTGTGTGGATCAGGAGGTCACTGTTCGATATCTGGTCAGGGCACATGCCTGGGTTGCAGGCTCAATCCCCAGTGTGGGGCATGCAAGAGGCAGCTAATTGAAGATTAGCTCACTTTATCTGTTTCTATCTCTCTCTCCCTCTTGCTTCCTCTCTGAAATCAATAAAAATATATTTAAAAAATAAAAAGAAACCACTCAGTTTCCTATCTACAAAGTGAGATAAGTGGGAACTAACTTATCTTAATAATATATATAGTTCCTTTCCAGGTCCAAAATGTTATAATCATCTCACATGAAAGAAAGCTATCAAAAGAATAAAATAAATGGTAGAATACCAATAATCTTTCGTTCATACCCAAAACCTACGCACCAGTTTTCTCTGCTCTGGTCAAACATAATTTGCTTTCTGCGTTGGTTCTTTACATTTGGTTATATGGTCTGTGCATTCTCCTACTTAACACAAGAAAAACCTCTAGAAGTCCAGACTATTTTGCCATTTCTATCTTATCACTTCATTACTTTCACTCCCTTCCTATCTGTAAACAAAATAAAAGAGCTTATGAAAACTATTAGCACCTGAAAATGGCACAACATATATACCAGCCATCATAAACCAATAGTTATTTACATTTTAAAAACTCTTCTTCCTTATTTCTACTATAAAAATATTTACATTCTTGTCTACTCTAATAAATTTAAGCAATTGAGGGTATTAAAATGTTTCTCTCTGCACAAATACACATAATCATTATTTTAGGTTAGTACTCAAATAACCTCAAAGGTTATAACATAAGAGGCACTCTTTTTTTTTTTTAATATATTTTATTGATTTTTTACAGAGAGGAAGGGAGAGAGATAGAAAGTTAGAAACATCGATCCAGCTGCCTCCTGCACATCTCCCACTGGGGATGTGCCCGCAACCCAGGCACATGCCCTTGACCAGAATCGAACCCGGGACCCTTCAGTCCGCAGGCCGACGCTCTATCCACCGAGCCAAACCGGTTTCGGCAAGAGGCACTCTTAAGAGCACAAAGTGGGTTTGAATTTCATCCCATACCAGCTAAATGACTCTGGGTAAGTTACTAATGTCAATTTGGTCTCTAGTTTCTCTATCTATTAAATGAGTTAGACACTTCAGAGAGATATGAGATTTAAATAAATATGTTAAGTTCTCAGTGCAATGCCAAAAAATGGTAAAAATTTAATTAATTTTACCCTCTACTAATAAAATTAGTCAATAACATTGAACCTCACATTTAAAAAAATATAATAAATCAGATGGAACTGTCTTCACAGTAGTCTTTTTCAAAAGCAACACATATTACTAGATCTTAATTCATTGTGTTCTTAACTGTTTCTATAGTAAGACTTAATTATACAAGAAAGAGCCTTCTAAGCACTTACACTAAAAATTAAAGAATTAACACATAATGGGTTCTCTCAAAATGGGTTTCTTTTGATGAAATATAATTAATGTTCACATTCCTTGCACAGAGTATGACAAGATCACATGCTATTTTCAGTATACTCCATCCAGGGCTAATAGGGCTAAAAATAAGGATATGCCAGGCATTCAAAAATGTTACTTTTACTAATAAAATCCATTCCCCTAGCATTTGTATAAACATTAATAAAATCATGTAGCTGTGTATGTAGAGGTCAAAAGAACAGAGAAATTTCTAGATGTGATTTTTTATGGTGTTATAATTCAGATTTCTTTGACCACAAATCTGAACAATGATACTGATATATTAGTGTGTATAAAAAATATTTATCTGACACAGACAACAGTATGGTGATTACTAGAGGAACAAAGGAGGTGAGGGCAGGTAGAAGAGAGTAAGCAGGGGATAAATGGTGATAGAGATTTGACTTGGAGTGGTAAACACAATATACAGATGATGTATTAGAGAATTGTACACTTGAAACCTGTATAATTTTATTAACCAATGTCACCCCAATAAATTCAGTTAAAAAATATTCATCAATTTGTTGAGGTATTGATATTACAAGTTTTAAATGGTACTTTAGTAGTAATATCTGCAGTTTGAAATTTATTTTTATATCAAGTTTTACTTTTATTCACTAAGAAAATTTTATTATTGCATACAGACTGTGACAGAAGAAATCTGAAAAATAAACTTAATTCTGCCCTTTTTTTTTAATCCTCCCCGAGGACATGTTTATTGAAATATGGCCTATTCATACCTCAGAATTCAGAATTGGAAGGAATTGTCAATAGCTTCATTGAGCAGTGTCAATTCCAGCTTATAACAAGAACCTAAAGAAGTTCTTTGTTTATTTGTGTTTTTTAATATATTTATTGATTGTTTACAGAGAGGAAGGGAGAGGGATAGAGTTAGAAACATCAATGAGAGAGAAACATCGATCAGCTGCCTCCTGCATACCCCCTACTGGAGATATGCCCGCAACCAAGGTACATGCCCTTGACCGGAATCAAACCTGGGACCCTTGAGTCCGCAGGCCGACGCTCTATCCACCGAGCCAAACCAGTTAGGGCAAGAACCTAAAGAAGTTTTTTAAAAATCCTGAAATGCCTATTAATCAAATACGATTACTAAAGTTTTTAGCTAAAGTCATTTTGATTATTTTAACTCTTGAAACTGAAAGTCTATTTTTACCATATTTTAAGCAGAATAATTGATTTGCCAGCATAACTTATTTTCCATCCTACAGCTGTGGAACTATGATAGCAGGGTTCTAGGTCTGTCATATTCACAACTGTATTCCCAGTGCCTAAAACAGTGTTTTATACATGTCTGATACAATCCCAAAACTGGCTGAGTGACTAAGAATAAATTCTTCAAATATTCTAAATAAAGAAAATGTACTGTTTCAAAATGGTTTTCATAACTTGCTATATATGCCTATTACCTATCAATTTAATGAGAAATTACAGATATAGGAAGAGTAACCTCTCTATTATTGTCAAGGAAGTTTGATTTCTGTGTTTTGTGTTTTTGTTTTAGCTCAAGTTAAAATTTATGTAAGATTCTTGAATGATCCTCCATCGCCTATGACACCAAATTCAACACCTTTGCATAGTATAGGGTTAGAGTTAAGGTGAATATCCCATGTACTCTCAACAATAAAACAATCAACTGGTTTTACTACTTTCCCACACAATAAACTTCATTAAAATACAGCAAAACATGCCGTAGCTGGTTTGGCTCAATGGACAGAGCGTTGGCCTGCGGACTGAAGGGTCCCGAGTTCAATCCCGGTCAAGGGCACGTGTTCGGGTTGTGGGCTCGATCCTCAGTAGGGGGCGTGCAGGAGGCAGCCAATCAATGATTCTCTCTCATCATTGATGTTTCTATCTCTCTCTCCCTCCCTGAAAACAATAAAAATATATTTTTTTAAATACAGCAAAACATCATTTGTGTTCAAAAGTTCTCCGTGCAGGTGTAGTAGATATTTCTTAAGATATGTTTATAATCATCTAACCTTGGGGAAAAGTTACCTAAGAGATGATTCCATGAAGCTTCTAGGCAAAAGGAACAGTATATGTAAAGGTAACCTAATATCCTGTTTTGAGAATTAAATTCTAATCCATAAAAATAGTAGGCAGAGTACAGGTGAGTGTAAAAGACCATGCTACAGAGCTGGATCTAAACCAATTTACATACAATGGAAAGCCACCGAAGAATTTTAAGCAGAAAAGAAACATAATCAAATTTCTGACAATATGCTTTGGGGGATGGTTAAAAATCATTGCTGGACTCCATGAGATATTGAGTTTAAACAAGGCAGCAGGAAGAGAATTGACTGGATATCTTAATTATAGCTGATCACAGTATATAGAATACAAAATCCTGGGGATAGGAAGTCCACTACTTGTCTTTCTCTTTTTTTTCATTTAAATATATAATCTAATTACAAACTCAGAATCTATCATATAGAGAATTCAATGACCTTACATATAAAGAAGGTCCTTAGTATAGAAATAAAAGAATCTATAAACAGGCCTTTAAAATAATAAACCTACTTAAAAGAAATCAAAACATTAGAGTGAGAAATAAAAATTAAAACTGGCAAATAATAAAGCTAATAATTACGAGGGAAAGTTATAATTGCAATTACAGATTATTTCTTAAAAATAAGGAAAAATCAACTATTGATAGTATAACAAGACATTCTTCTCAGCATGTTCAATTTCACATCCCAAATTTAAGGGTCATTTTCCAAGAGTATTTTAGAGCAACATCATTTTTTCCAAATGCCTTTCTCACACTCTGAAGAATATTAAAACTACTTGTTTTAATAAAATGTCAAAACACTCTTTTGAAGAAAATATTATGTTTGACTATTTTCCCTTCTTCAACTGGTCACCAGTTTAAGTCTGCCAGAATCACTTTTGATGATAGCTTTAAACACTACTTTACAAATTTTTCAACAATGTTTTCATAAATTTAATGAAAGCCCTATATCTTTTATAAGATATGCTACTTTATTTTACAATACAACGACTTTTCATCTCTTCTACCATTAAAATCCTAATCCAGGCCATCATCTCCTCTCTTCTGGACTGTTGCAATGCTTCCTAACTTTCCTCCCGGCTTCCAATGGCAGGGGACTGAAAGCGACACAACTTTTCTCTAACCTCCACATGGAAACCTCAGTACACATTTTAACATCTAAACCACATCGTGTTCAAAACTCTCCCATGACTTTCAATCATATTTACACTTCATCATTTGTCACCTTAAATGCCAGCTCTTCGGAGAAGCTCGACTTTGCAAACTAAAACAGAATCTCTGCAAATCCCTAGTATGCCTAATTTTACCTCCTGAGGCTCTACTTACATGTTATCTACTACTTCTACATTATAAATTTGCTTATTTACTATCTTCCCCAACCTCCACACATATACTCCCCCAAAAGGTAAATATCATAAGGGGAGGATTTTGCCAACTAGATTCAACATCTAACAGTGTCAAGCACATCAGAAGCACTGAATAGAGCCAGTTACATGAATATATTATTATCTTGTTAGATGTTAATAAAAGCCATCAGTGAGAGACTGAGTAACAAAGACTGAGTAACATAGGTTTAACATTAAATCTATGAAAACACAATAGATATAAAGACATGCTACTATTAGAGGGAGAGGGGTATGATAATGGGAACTATTAGTTTATTAGTGAATATTTTGTGATATGACAACTTTTGCCTTCCTGCATGTACTAACATAGTAAACATTCCATGGACAAAGATCCCATGTATATTAGAAAGTGAAAGCTAAGCTTAAAAAAAACAGAAACGGAGTCATTCCCAAGAGTTTTAAATAAGCTTGGAGAAAAATAATCTGAATTACATAGCTAAAGAGACCCCTAAATAACTAGAATTCACAAGGATCTCCAGAAAATTGTTAATGGGGAAAATAGCAAATATCCCAGGAATGCCCTTTAACTAGAACATCCCCTGAACTCCTTTCCCCACATATTGTACCAAACTAGGCCTACAATAGCTTTCCTAAATTGACAGGTTCTGAAGGCTCATATAATCTTTTATATTGGCATTAGACTGCATGATAACCCACGTTATCCTAAAACTCTTTGTCTAAAAAGTTTCCATTGGCCTTGGCCTATGTGCCTCAGTGGGTTGGGCATGCACTGAAAGGTTGCAGGTTCAATTCCCAGTCAGGGCACATGCCCAGGTGGCAGGCTCATTGTCTCCCCCTCTCTCTCTAAGGAAAAAAAAAAAAATCAATAAAAAAGTCTTTAAAATAAAATAAAAAGCTTCTATTGGACCTTTACCTAAATGAATTAGCAAGTTGAAAACAGATAAAATTGCTCTTTAAGTATTTCAAGCAAAAAATTTAGGTCGTACTTATTTCATCAACTAGAATTTTAGAAGGAACCACAGATATTTTCTGTACCTCACAAATAGTGAACGAAGCCAGCCACTCAAAAACCTAGGGAAATAGTTGCAAGCTAGACAAATATAAGCCCTGCTCTAAAAGAGTATACAGAAAAGTATACTTAATTTAACTTAGTAACAGAGTTATGAGAAGATGCCACAGAGATCTAAACTCACCAATCTATCTAATACACTCATTTTAAATCTGGGGAAGTGATCTACCCAAGAAAATTCAGTAAGTTATGGAAAAGCTTAAGGTTTTACTTTATTCCAAAATATTTAAAACTATCATTATTTTAAGAAATCCACCAAACCTTTAATCCAACAGTGAATTCGTAATATAACAATAGTCTACTCAGTGACTGTACCTGGCATGAAAATTCAAAGCACTAAAGAAACAGGTGGGTAATCTGAATCTCATTTCTAGATCATGACCAAAAGTAATTTCTCTGGGATTTTGTACATTACATGGAAAAGGCTCCCAAGGACTAGTACCATATGTGCATTTTGTAACATAAATCTTATACAATTACAAGTTTGAAGTTTTATACCTGTGTGATGGTGAAGGAGCTTCAAATTGAGGCACTGTGCTATCCTCACTGACAGGAGAGTATAAGCCACTCATTTCCTGAAAGCATAATTATTTGAATTATAGTAGGTACTCCAAACATAAGATGTAAAAATTAAAATCAGATATATTATATTATTTTCCAACCCCAGGTTTTTATCAGTCACTTTTTGTATCAACATCCAACTTTCTCAAGGCTTCCTCTCCACAGAGTGCTAAAGCAAAAGTATCCTAAAAAGTTAAAAGATAAGCCTTTTCTATGATACACATTCTTTAAAAACTAGATACTCTTTAATAAATATTACTTATCACTAATAAAGCCACCAATGCAAAAAAAAAAAAAAAAGACAAATGTAAATATAGTTGGCCCTTGAACAACATGGGGGTTAGGGGCACCAACCCTCAAGCAACCTATATAACTGCTATAACTTTTGACTCCTTAAAAATGTCACTAATAATAGCCTACTAGTGACCAAAAGCCTGACTGATAACATAAACAGTCATTTAACACATATTTTGTGTATCATATACTGTAGTCTTACAATAAAGTAACCTAGAGAAAAGAAACTGTTAAGAAAATCACAAGGAAGAGAAAACACGTTTATAGTATTTATTGAAAAGAAAACCCTGCATGTGAGTGGATCTGCGCTGTTCAAATCTATATTCAAGGGTCAACAGTATTTTAAATGAGATGTACAGTACATTATATGAACAGTGAACTGGCTAACTACTGATCCAGGTAAGTACCTATAGATAATTTTAAGATAAATATGCCAGTATGGTAACTGGATCATTAGGTTCAATTCTCTGAAGTACAAAAGAACAGAATGTGTCAGTCTCTTCTTTAAAAATATCCTCCGCAAACATTAAAAAAAGTAACACTTGACTCAATTTAGCTTTGTTTAATAAAGACTTAAACTCTAAGTTTTGATCATTAACCCAGAAGAAAAGGACCCCTCTAATCAAATATTATTGCATAAATTATGCCTCTGAATCATACCAACCTGGCTTCCTTTTTATGTCCTGTATTTTGGTTCATAGAAATATAGCAAATTTTAAAATGCCACTAAAGATCCAGTCAAGCAGAATTTTTTCTGACTGATCCAAACTCAGTTCAATCATATAGCCAAGCAAGGGACATCAATATAGGTTAATGCCGCATGGAAACTGAAATTCCACTGATAGTACAACTCAAGGTCAATTAACATGTATCAGCAAAAGAAAAGTATAACATCTGTGAATAATTAAAAACATACAGTACATTTAAATACAGCTAAAGATAATGAGCCTCTCAAAGATCCTCCCATGGATTCCTATTAGTAAACCAGCATACTATAAATTCTTAAGATTATTGGTAACATATTCTCATATATTTTCTTTAAATTAATGCTAGTCCTAGAAAGGCATAGTAGATATATCTAAAAAATATTTACTTAGTAAAAGAATGGAATTGTGACATCTTTTAACATTAATAATTGAGGGTTTTGTGGGAGTTAAGTTAATATGAAGGCACACAATAAAGTTGAATAATTTTTTTCAACCTGCCCCAAAATAATTATCGTAATAAAAAGCAGTGAAAACAAATTTAGAATACATTTATCATCAAAAAAGTGATGCTTTTTCTATAAAAAACGAACTTTCAATTAAAATTAAAGCAGTGGTTCTCAACCTTCCTAATGCCGTGACCCTTTACTACAGTTCCTCATGTTGTGGTGACCCCCAACCATAAAATTATTTTCGTTGCTACTTCATAACTGTAATTTTGCTACTGTTATGACGTGTAATGTAAATATCTGATATGCAGGATGTATTTTCATTGTTATATATTGAACATAATTAAAGCATAGTGATTAATCACAAAAACAATATGTAATTATATATGTGTTTTCCGATGGTCGTAGGCGACCCCTGTGAAAGGGTCGTTTGACCCCCAAAGGGGTCGCGACCCGCAGGTTGAGAACCGCTGAATTAAAGTAACATCTGTTACTTTTTATATAATGAAGCTCAATCCCATAAATTTAATGCAGCAATTTAAAGGAAAAGTGATAATTTCATGAAATTGAAAAATTGCCAGAGAAATTCTTGATATCTTACTTCCACTCTTTTAATATCCTCTTCCAAAACACTCAGCTCCTTCTGGATCTGTTCCAGTTGCTGCAGATAAAAGAGAAAAAAAGAAGCCTAAACCAAACCATACTTGACAGCACCAAGATTATATAATAACTTCCACATTTGAGAAATGATTTCTAGAAAAGTAAGCACTATTGGTAAATTGTAGACAAAAGGATCTATAAGTATTATGTTAAAATGTAAATGAAGGGACTTAATACATAAGAAAACAAAATGTACTTTTTAAATATAAGAATTGACTTTGTAATGAAAAGATAAACGACAACGCGACTTACTAAAAATACAAGACACCCAAAGAACCTCATTTCAATGTCAGCAAGTAATGTCAGCATGTCACTTGTTAACCCATTTCAAAAATAAATATTAGCCTCACAAAGCAATCCAAAATCAATCACAAGATAGCATCTTAACATTTCCTTCTTAAAAGCTTTAAGACATAGTTAAGATGTCTTACCTTTGCTATTGTAACCTATTGCTTCATAAGCTTTTCCCATGCCATTTAAATGCAAATATTTTAATTGTTGAATCACATTCAATACATTTAACCATTCCCCTCTCACCAAGTTTTTATTGCAAACTATCATAAGTATCTGAAACTTGATTCTGAATTTCAAGTTTTATTAAGAAATTATTAAAAATGAAATTAGAAAATAAAGAGTAGGCAATTCTTCACTATATAAAACAAAACAGCCTTCCAGAAGTACAATACGTTTCAAATTCTATCACCAATATATAAAGTTGCTGTCTTATTCTTAATTCAGCAAGTGGCAGAACTGGAGCTCAAATCAAGACAGCCTTCTTGCTCCAGAATTCATGCTGTACCAGGGGTGGGCAAACTTTTTGACTCAAGGGCCACAATGGGTTCTTAAACTGGACTGGAGGGCCGGAACAAAAGCATGGATGGAGTGTTTGTGTGAACTAATATAAATTCAAAGTAAACATCATTACATAAAAGGGTACGGTCTTTTTCTTTTTTAGTTTTATTCATTTCACACGGGCCGGATCCGGCCATAGCTTGCCCACGGCTGTGTTAACCACTATACTATACTACTTCTTGAAAGCAGTACCTTATTATTTAACTTTCACTTCCTTAATGTTTGGTAAGGTTAAACAGTCTTTTACAGTTTATTAATATTAGGACCAGTCTCTTCTGTGACAATACATACATGGTTGCTAATATAATTGATAACTTATTATTCAAATATTTACCAATCCTAAGCATTTTGCTAAGCCCTGGGAAGAACAGTATTTAGAAACTATAGCCCTTGCCCTCATAGAACTCAGTCTAGGGGAGATAGCAAACAAGTAACCAATTAGTTATGGCACAGTAAGCATGAGGAGGATGGTATGCACACAATTAAAGGAACATAGGTTGCTCCTAAACTAGATGGAAAACTCAGGGGCAGAGGACAGGTAACTGGATAAGTGAAAGTACATCTGAAATTAAATGAAAGGCTGAGCCTTGAAGGACTAATAGAATTTTCCCAGGTAGAAAACAGTTGGGAAATAGAGAATAAGCAGCGTAAATAATAATACATACAAAAGCTATGAGAACAAAAGCTCTGAGGAATAATAAATTTGAAGTTATGACAATGAACAAAATCCCCTAATGTCAACCAGCATAACCAGAAGAGATGAGAACAAGAACTGGATAGTAGGGAACACCAATGTTTAAGAGATGGGCAAAGGAAAGGGAGACCCTGCATAACTATCAAGGGCAAAGTAGTAGCCATGAAACTAGTATAGATGCATACTAGAAACTTGAAGTGGAGTGTAAAAAAAAAGCAATTAGCACTGTCGTATGTTTTCAACTCTTCCATCTAATAAACTTTCCTCCACCCTAAGTTTTTTTTATAATACTCCAAGACTACTTCAATCAGATGGCGTTCAAAACTGAACAAAAGAATACTGGTGCATTTTCAGAAAATAGCTGGTTTAAAAAAAGAGCAGCAAAACTTAATATATAAAAATAAGAATGAGATAACCATTGCACACCTATTAGATATCCAAAATCCAGAACACTGACAACACCAAACGATGATGAAGATGTGGAGCAACAGAAACTTTCATTTTTTGTGGTAGAAATGCAAAATGGTATAGCCACTTTGAAAAACAGTGTAGCAGTTTCTTAAAAAAAAAAAAAAAAATCAAACATACTCTTATCATATGATCTAGTGATTACGCTCCTTGGTATTTACTCAAAGGAACTGAAAACTTATGACTACAGAAAAACATGTTTATAGCAGTTTTATTCATAATTGCCAATCAACACATCTTTCAGAAAGTAAATGGATAAACAGTGTTACATCCAGACAATGGACTATTATTCAATGCTAAGAAAAAATGAGCTGTCAAGCCTGAAAAGACATGGAGGAAAATTAAATTAATGCATATTACTACATTTTAAAAAGCAAATCCAAAAGGTTCTAAACTAAGAAAAAATAAACAAAATAAAATAAAAATCAATAAACTGCATGATTCCAACTCTCTGATATTTTGGAAGAAGCAAAACTATGGAGACAGTAAACACCAGTGGTTACCAGGATTTGGGAGTATGGAAAGGGATGAATAGGTAGAGTACAGAGAAATTTTAGGACAGTGAAAATACTCTGTATGACAGTATAATGATACATACATGCAATTATACATTTTAAATCCACATAATGTATAAAACAAAGACTAAACCCTGAAGTAAACTATGGACTTTGGGTAATTATGATGAGTCAGTGTAGGTTCTACAACAAATGTTCCCTCTGGTAAGGAATGTTGAGGAGGAGGAGGCTATGCATATGTGAGAGCAGAAGGTACATGGGAAATCTCTGTACCTTCCTCTCAATTTGCAGTGAAAAAAAAACAACCAAGTTTAAAACTGCTCTGATCACCTGAGAGATGCAAATCAAAACAACCAGGTACCATCTCACACCTGTCAGAATGGCTGTCATCAACAAATCAACAAATGACAAGTGCTGGAGAGGATGCAGAGAAAAAGGAACCCTCCTGCACTGCTGGTGGGAATGCAGACTGGTGCAGCCACTGTGTAAGACAGTACGGACTTTCCTCAAAAAGTTAAAAATGGAACTCCCATTTGACCCAGTGATCCCACTTCTAGGACTATATCCCAAGAAACCAAAAACACCAATCAGAAAGGATATATGCACCCCTATGTTCATAGCAGCACAATTTACAATAGCTAAGATTTGGAAACAGCCTAAGTGCCCATCAGCAGATGAGTAGATTAAAAAATTGTGGTACATCTACACAAGGGAATATTACGCCACTATAAAAAAGGAACTTTTAGCATTTGCAACAGCGTGGATGGACCTGGAGAGCATTATGCTAAGCGAAATAAGCCAGAGAAAAATAAATATCACATAATCTCACTCATATATTGGATATAATCCTATCTAATAAAAGAGTAATATGTAAATTGACCATCACTCCAACACACAAAATGGCCACCCCATGTGGACACAAGATGGCCAGCAGGGGAAGGCAGTTGGGAGGGACCAGGCCTGAAAGGGAGGGCAGTTGGGGGTGATCAGGCCTGCAGGAGAGGGCAGTTGGGAGAGACCCAGGCCTGCAGGAGAGGGCAGTTGGGGGTGACCAGGCCTGCAAGGGAGGGCAGTTAGGGGTGACCAGGCTGGCAAGGGAGGGAAGTTAGGGGTGATCGGGCTAGCAGGGGAGGGCAGTTAGGGGCAACCAGGCTGGCAAGGGAGGGAAGTTAGGGGTGATCGGGCCAGCAGGGGAGGGCAGTAGGGGGCAACCAGGCCTGCAGGGGAGGACAGTTAGGGGCGACCGGGCTGCCAGGGGAGTGGTTAGAGGGTGATCAGGCTGACAGGCAGAAGCGGTTAGGGGCAATCAGGCAGGCAGGCAAGTGAGTGGTTGGGAGCCAGCAGTCCTGGATTGTGAGAGGGATGTCCCAGATTGGAGAGGGTGCAGGCTGGGCTGAGGGACACACACACACACACACACACACACACACACATCGTGCACAAATTTCGTGCACCGGGCCTCTAGTGATCAACATAATTTGATGAACAAGAATAGACCCAGAGACAAATGGTAGGGGGAGGTTAGAGAGCAACCAAGGACTTATATGCATGAATATTAGCATAACCAATGGACAAAGACACTGGGGCAGTGGGGGCTTACCCGGGGTGGGAATGGCTGGGGGATTGGGGGGGGAGGGGGAGTCAAGCAGGGAAAAAGGAGACAAATGTAAAACTTTAGACAATAAAAAAAAAAAGAAGGGAGACTTAAAGAGTGTTAAAGTCCTGATCCATAAAAATGTGAAACTAAAAGTGCACTACTGCTCATTTTGTCTGTGGGACGATGCTGGAATACAATACTCTACAAATAAGGAATTTCATTTATTCCCCTCCCCCCCAAAAATTTAAAAAATAAAAATAAAAACATCCAAGTAGCTCAAACCAGTGTGGGTCAGTGGATAAGCATTAACCCATGAATCAAGAGGTCACAATTCAATTCCCAGTCAGGGCACATGCCCAAGTTGTGAGCTTGATCCCCAGTAGGGGGCCTGCAGGAGGCATCCAATGGATGATTCTCTTTCATCGATGTTTCTCTTCTCTCTCTCTGAAATCAGTAAAAACCTACTTTATTTTTTTTAAATATATTTTATTGGTTTTTACAGAGAGGAAGGGAGAGGAATAGAGAGTTAGAAACATTGATGAGAGAGAAACATCGATCAGCTGCCTCCTGCACATCCCCCACTGGGGATGTGCCCGCAACCCAGGTACATGCCCCTGACCGGAATCGAACCTGGGACCCTTGAGTCCGCAGGCTGACGCTCTATCCACTGAGCCAAACCAGTTAGGGCAAAACCTATTTTTTAAAACAATAACTAAAAACATCCAAGTAACCCATAAGGAGAAAAACAAAAAAAAAATTAAACAAGTAACAACAACAACAAAAAAAAGAAAAAAGAACTCTGGCAGAAAGGACACAAACCTCTTCTGTATAAGAAACTCCCCTAGAATATGATTCAGTAATTGATGTAACAAGGA